GGTCTTGCTCTGTCTCCCAGGCTAGAGTCCAGTGACATCATCTTAGTTCACTGCAACCTCAATCTCCTGAGCTTGAGTGATTTCTCCTGGCTCAGCTTCCCAAGTAGCTAGGACTACAGGGATATGCCACCATACCCAGATGATTTTTCTATTTTTTGTCAAAAATGGGGTCTCATTCTTGCTCAGGCTGATCTCGAACTCCTGGCCTCAAATGATCCTCCTGCTTTTGTCACCCAAAGTGCTAGGATTACAGATGTGAGCCACTGCTCCCGGTCACCAGCATACTATTTTTAAATCTGCAGAATTACTTCTCCTTCTACACAACCTAATTCTTAGGAGAAATATATATTCTTCTGTATCCTTATTTGCAATAAAGACTTTTGATTAATTCTTGATAACATTTGAGTTTTTGCATTTATCTACATATGTTGAGATGTCAGTTTCAGTGTCTTTGTTCCTCATTTACTCAGCCAATATTTTCTGGGAACCTAACATTTTTAGGCACTTTTCTAAGTCCTAAGGGCACACAAATGAACATAGCAGGCAATAACCTTACTCTCAGAGAGACTTTATTAGCTATTATAACATGTACATCACTTTAGAGATACCTGGGACTATAAGCACTTTTCCAAAACCAGTTCTTTATTGAATTCCATTTAAAAATCCTGGATACAATCTCTGCATTGCCAATGCCACACTTGTAGACTGTATGTTGCATGGTTGATTTTTTTAAATACAGAAATGGCTTTAAACATTTCTTGATTTTTTTTTCTAATAATGAAAATTCAGAAAAAAAATATATTTCTTACCATGACAACTTGGTAGGGCTCTATTCCATCCAGGTCTTCCATCATCTCCCATGATACAGGTGAGTGTTGAATAACCTTGAAGAACATAACCAGCATCACAGTAATAGGTGACTGTTGAGCCTAATTTATAATCCATTCCAAGTCTGGTGCCATTCATTATATTGCCTGGATCAAAGCAGGACTCTCGGAGTTTTGCTGTAAAACAGTGTTAATATAACATTAATTGCTTTAAAATACCATCAGACCTCCATACCTGTGGGTTCCACACCTG